TTTTCGGCCAACGCCATTACTGCTGCAAATATTTAATTGCACATTAATAAACAATTAATAATCAAATTTGGATCTGTTTTTACCTGTTGTGGTTTCAGATGGTGTTGTTTGTAACTTTCTTTTTCGACCAACCGGTTTCGACGTTCGTCGTGGTTTTTTCTTACTTTTCGAAACCTCATCCAGTGAAGTACGTTTGTACAATGCCTCTGAAAACGGTTCTGGATTAACCAAAAATTCAGATGAACACTCGTTTTTCACGCGAGTTAAATCGAGCGCCGGTTGACTTGCTGAAGTTCCAATTGTACTTGTGGCGCTATCTTCTTTAAAATCTGCAGGTGTTATTTCTGTTAATGTTAAAGGCGGTGTGCTGATTTTCATTAGTTCTGTAAATCGAGTTGGTTTTAAACGACTTAATAGGGCTGTTTCATAAAGTAATGCACGCATACGTTTACGAAATTTCTGTATCGCTATATTTTTCTCATTTTCATTTGGTTTGCGGTCATCGCTGTTATCTACAGATTTACATCCCTCTAATTGTACCTGAGCCGATTGCACGCATAGCGCTCGGAAGGCCATTGCTGTCGACAAACTTGGTGGAAATGTATAGTTGAAGGGCTTACATAGAGATTCGTTTGCAATTTGGTTTCTCGGATATAGATAAAATTCGCAACGGCGTTCAATGTACGGTAATAGCGAACTGTCCGCAATATATGGCTGCGCGGAGTCCGGCTTAAAATCGAGTGATGTTGCCACAAAACGTAATAATTCATTTGGTGGTTTAGTACATACATCAGCACCTAAACTAAAATTATAAGAATATTTAAAGAAATGATAGAGTATTTGTTCAACAGCACGTAAACGCTCCACGTATGATATTTTCCGCACTTTTTTCGCAATTTTTCTCAACGATTGCACTTCGCATTTTGGAGGGTCCTTAGTTTTGAGCACTTCTTCAAACTTATCAACCTTTTCTTTAAGTTTCTTAAACTTCCGATTCGTTGGTACAAGCACAGTGTCGGGATTYTCTCGCAATTCTGCGACTTTTTCGATCCAATTTTGGGTTGTAATAACACTATTCTTCATTGTACATGTCTTTTTTCTGGGTATGTCTTCAAGTGTTGCCTCTGGATTTTTGGCAAAAAACTTCTTTATAGTAAGGAAACGTGTACGGCAACTAATACGATTGTGGTTGCCGAGAGCTCCAGCACAACGTAGCCAAGCCGATGTACCGTGCTCGGCTATAAACTCCATAAGTTTCTTATCATCCTCTACAGACCAGGGTGTTAGCTTATGACGAGTTTGTAATGTATTTCTGTAACGCATACGAAGCTGTGTTATAGAGCGATTTGGAAAAAGTGTACGTGGAAATAATGCAAATTTTTCTCCATATTCTTCAACCGCTGCCAACAATATGAGGTCTTCTTCAGGCGAAAATGGTTCTGAAAGCATACAAAGGTTATTGTAAAATTATAATTATATATATTACTAATTTTACCATGACTAATCTTTGGATCCAAATAATATATGTAACGTTGATGTAATGATTTTTTCGGTTTGTGGGGAAAATAAGACGCCACTACATTCCAATCGATTACTCCGTTTATGGACTTTTTCTCTATTAATTTTAGTAACTTAATATCATCTCGTTTATCCCAACGACCCCAACGTTGTGTGTCCATAAAACAAACGGCCGTTTGATATTGTATAAAGCATTGATAATCAGAACGTTTCGAAACTGATTCGGCAATCTTTTCCCAATTTTGATAATTATGAATTTGCGCTACATGTAAGAGTCGTTTATTTTCCTCTTCAGACCAAGCGCTACGCTTAAGCGATGGATGCAAGTATACTTGCCACATTGTCTTACAACTGCTAGGTGAATGTCGATAGTTTAAGTTATGTGCAGACACTTGCTCCCAATCAACTTGGAATTTTTCATCTACTTGTGTTAAAAGATTTGCCAACTTCTCTGTGTGAACTTTTATATCTAATGTGAGCCTTTTCGATTTATTACTTTTGTCTCGAATTTGGTGATCTGCTAAGTAATCAACTAACTGTAAATAGATAAAACCTTTTCAAAATGTATTCAACAAAATAAATATTTACAAAACAATGAAGTACAAAATAGATATAAGTTAAATCAGATAGCCCGTATTTTTCAACAAAATAAAAACTCTTAGCTCTATGTACACCACTCTACTAAGTAACACTTGAATGTTTAGAACCTAAAAAAAGTAATTTTTTTCCAAGACTTTAGGGGTTATTTATCTTACATCTTACCTGTTCTTTCACTGCTTGGACCACAGCTTTTTTGTCCAATAATGACCAAACATGGCGGCTACATAGCTCAAAGTCCATAGGGAACATTTCGTTTTCCACATTCTTACGATATTCGTAATCTTGATTGTTTGGACAGTTTCGACATTTGAGGTCTTTAAAAAACATATTTCCTTTAAAAAAGAAAGTGCCTCCTTTCAGGTAGGCACCACGCATTCCAAATCCTCGTTGCTTTTTGCCCAAATTCATTTTCAGTCGTTGCTCGTTTGAAAGGTATCGCTGTTGAACAACTTGTAATAAGACCTGCAAACGTTTTCTCACTTCTTGCAGACGTTGCTGCATCTCCTGATTCAATATTAATGCATTTTCACAATTAACTTGGCTGCGAACACCCAGTAAGTTTGTTATCTCACCCATATATCTGGCACTGAATGCCGCATAGTCGGCGTTGGATTCCCCCTCCATTTCAGAATCCGACCAATCTATATACAAATAACATGAAACTGTCAGGAAAATATGTCGGCTTTTGGAATATTATTACTTTAAATTTACCTTCAACGCTATCATCTTCAGAGACAGAGTTTTCATCATTAATTGATATCATACCTAATTTATCTCAATGCTTTTAATCATAAACGTTTCTAATCTATGRAAAGAAGTTTATAKTTTTGCTTATTAACCTAAACAAYAATTAATAAGATTTGTTATCGAAAGAAATTCACAACAACAGAAATAGATTTCCTTTAGACTGAGTTTAGACAAGCGTTCATTTAGTCGACTAATTCTCTTTTTTTCATTTTTATTATGATATGCATATTTGCATATTACAGGAAAAAACATAATAACTTTCAAATTTGTAAACGTAATATAAATATTTATTTACAGGCACGACTTTTTATCTGTCCAAAAATAGTTTTGGCGTTAACAAAGTCGACATCTGAACAGTCTTAAGCGTACCTACACCGACTTCAATGTTGAATTAAAGCTATTTTCTATTCTAAATCCCAGCCTTTTGTAATATACAATACATATTCCTTTAATTTGAAAATGGATTAATGTTATTAAATTATTAAATCTTGTCAGCTCATTTAAAAATCAAAATCCTTCGTCTATGATTTCTAAGATATGGCAATAATATGGTCATTGTTATAAATGTATGTGTAAACGCATAGAAACATTAACTGAAASTGTGCAAAATTTATTTTTTCCATGTATTAGTTTCAAATTGTATATAGTCTTGCAACATGTCGCTACAGAGTATAATAGTTTTRTACACCTACCGATTGTTTGTATTTGTTTGAGGTTTGAGCCTCAAAATAATATATATCTTTATATATAAAAATCACGTGTCACGTTGTTTGTCCGCGATGGACGCCTAAACTACTGAACCGATTTTCGTAAAATTTAGCACACTGTGTCCAGTTCGAACCAACTTAAAAGATAGGATAGTAAAAACAATTCATAAATAAAGAATATAGTGAAAGTTCTATTAAATGGACGGCCTACTAAGCGGACATCTCCATTAACCATGTACATTGTTGATGTTTATCAAGTACAATCTATTAAGCGGGCAACTCTATTAACTGGGGAGAAAGACTGGTAACCAGACATTGACAATTTTTGCAATGAAATTTATTTGTATGAACATATTCAAAATTAAATCTCAAGTACAACGCCTTGAATTCTTATACCGACAAAAACTTTTTCTTCTTTATTCGTAAATAAATGATTCACTGTATTAAATAGTTTATTATATGAATAATAGTATAAGAAGTATACCACAGCAACGCATGGCCGGATCCCCTAGTATATACATACATATATATCATCTCATCTACGAACATGTCCTCACTTTTTTAACAAGAATCACTTGTACTAAGTTTCATCATATACTATAAGGTACCAGCCCTAAATTAAGATATAGAATTGTAAATTGGCACAGGGTATCGCAGTAGAATAAGGCACCTGTGGACAAATTTAAAGAAAAAAAATTGATGCTAACCCCGCCCACTAACGAAATAAAACTTTGAACAAAAAGTGCCTCTAGGTGCCGAATATGTGGATCCCAGTATTTGTAGATCTTTTTACTGAAAATATCGGTCAATGTGTGAGATATATAATTGAATTTCCTTTCCTGATATTAGTACGTCTCTATGTTGTAAATATGTTGAATTTGGTCAATACTTTCCTTAGCACCCATCTACCAAATATAAAGAATTTCGAACTTCCAGGTGTTCGCTTGTACCCGAACTTAGGTCTTCCAAATCTTAAAAGCTTCACGTATATGTTAATAGAAAACTATATTGGTATTTACGCACCATCTTAACCTCGACTTCGGGGGTTTCTAATTCAAAGTTTGCACAATAGATAAAACACTGTCTTTGTGTTCAAACAAGTTTTATTTGAAATTTCTGTAACAAAATCAAATGATTAATACTTACAATAACATGTAAAAGAAAACGAAATTAAACATTTAAGGTTTTTAAGGATAATTTTATGAAGTTATGTTATTTCATGGTAATAATTGATTATTTTATTTTTTTCTTTCAAAGGTTGTGTAACTATTATAATCTCCCTCATTTTACATTGTTTATATTGATATAATGTTACCTTGTTCTGTTAGATGTACGTTATTTAACTTCAAATAGTATATATTATGTTCTTTTTTGTTTTTTGAGTTATTTTTCGAACATAAGCATATATTATATATATTACATGTTATAGTTTCGAAATTTGAGTTTTGCAACACATTTTATAAACATTATATTATTAAGACACTTTATTTGTATTTCTTAATTATTCCAAATGATGGTGGTTTATATGATTTTATAGTTGTGTCGCGAGTACGTTTTAATTCAGTTCCATATATGGCGGTAGGTGGACGTTTATAAGGTGCTGTTGATGGGATAACTTTAAATTATTTTATATTTTGTATCATTTATAAATATTAATGCTTTTATTGTTATAATACTTTTTTTATGTTTTGTCACAGTCATAAGTAATAAAATATAGATATTAACATTGTAAAATAATTTATAGCGCAATAAAAAAGTAGTGGCCATGGTGAGATATTAAAATATTAGTAACGAAATCATTTATGGAGAAATGTGTTTCTGAAAACGTACTTACCCTTAACATACCCATAATTATGGATGGGAGTCACTAAACGAGTATGTACTTTAGTTTCGTAAACTTCCTCATCAGATTCATTTCTGCGAATTAATTTTTTATTGTAACAAGTAGTAAATTAAAAAAAACTGAATGATTTTCAAATATGTATAATATAACCCTCACGGCTGTGTTTACTAATTATTATTATTTTTTTTTTTTTACTTTCATTAATTGGAGATAACGAATTTAATATATAATACTTACTGATACATTCCCTGTTGATCCCCATGACGGGCAAGATTATAAAATTTAGATGAACTAGGACCTGTCATCATCTTTTTGTCGAGGATAGATCTGAAATTGAAAAGAAATTTATGCGTTATAAATATATCACCCTTTTTTATTTTGAAATAATTTTACTTCGAGTACTGTTTTGCCGACTTAGGATCTATTTCCATTAATTCTAATAATTGCTCATGGGATACATCATCATTTTTATCTGGAACAAGATACTTGCGGATCTCAGCTAAGGCGTATGCAATACGAGCGTAGCATTCCGCCGGTGCTGCTATTGTACTTATTTCCACATATAAACTTCGATTCAAATGTGCGAAACGTGGATCTCCTGATTCGCGCATTTCTTCCTCCTTAGTGCGATCTCGTATTGAGTTTCGTCCCTTGATTACAATTTTACATTGAGTTTCTTCTTGTAATCTTCTTAAGGAATTACCTTTGGGTCCAAGAATTTTCCCGGTGAAATTAAACTATGAGGTTGTATGGTAAACAGAAAATATCAATAGTATTTTCCTGTATTTTAAGTAAAAAATGTACCTTAGGAAATTGCTTGACAGGAACGAAAACTTTCTGTGTGACTTTTATAGGTTTTTGTTGGTATACATCTGCATAATATTCTCTACCTGGTATACGTCCTGTAGAGTAAACTCTTTCAAAGGCTGAAATATTCAAAAATAATTTTCAATACTTGYATGTCAAAACGATTGCAAAAAAGTTACCTTCATCAATTAACAAAGCGCACAAGGGAAAATCTGCACCAAGTCGTTCACGTTCCTCATCCAAGTCAGCTAGAAATTTTTGGGCAAAATTATTTATTCGTGGTGTTTCATTTTCTTCTTCCTTTTGTGCATTATTAGTTTCATGTAGATGTTCGGCCATGTCTTGTTCTATTCTTAAAAACTTTTATAAAAACAATTTTTTGCAATACAAAATTATATTAGAGAAAAATTGTCTACGTACCTCTAGAAAGGATATTTTTGTAATGCAAGTGTAACCAGAATGAGATGATTTGGGATATGCTGCCAGACTTCTCAATACTTTAACAGTGATCCGCTTAAAAAAAAAAACCTACTAGAAATTAGGTCAATACAGAAGAATTTTACTCTTTTTTTTATAAAATTTTGTATCGTTATTATTAAAGGAAAGCAATTTGTGTTTACCGAAAAATTTATATTGTTTTGAATAGTAATGCCGAGAGAATGTTTATCGTGATAATTTATCATGATAAACGTTCTCTGMTATTGTTTTASGAATTGTTGGCACTTGCCTTTTGTTTTTGGAACGTATCCGCCATTTTAATTCCAAAAATTTAGATTTGACAGCARTTTTAATCATAGCGGAGCAGTAAATTCATTTTGTTTTTTTAGCATTCGATTGAATTTAAATTGTGTTAATTTAGAAAAATGTCGGAACATTCAGATGAGGTCAGTCAAGTTACAAAAGATGGTGAGATCGATGGACCAAGGATAAATAATTTTGCCCAAAAATTTTTGGATGAATTAAATGAGGAACGTGATAGACTGAGTAATGAGTTTCCATTGTGTGCGCTACTTATAGAGGAAGGTTAGTTGTATTCCAATCCATTTTTATACAATTTTCGTAATTCGGAACATTAAATTGAAACATTGCCTTCGCATAGCTATTGAAAGAGTGTGCACTACAGGCCGAATTCCTGGCAGAGAATATTATGCTGATGTTTACAAACAAAAGCCTATCAAATTGGTACAAAAAGTATTTGTCCCAATTAAACAATACCCAAAGGTAAAGTTGAAATATAAAAAATAGTTTGTATACATTGTTTATGGAAATTCACTTAATTCACTAGTTCAACTTTACTGGAAAAATATTAGGCCCTAAAGGCAATTCACTTCGTCGTTTGCAAGAAGAGACCCAGTGTCGCATTGTCATCAAGGGACGGAATTCCATACGCGATCGTGCTAAGGAGGAAGAAATGCGTAATTCCGGCGATCCACGACACTCTCATTTAAGCAAAGATTTATTTGTTGAGATTAGCACCGTCGCAACACCTGCAGAAGCTTACGCTCGTGTGGCTTACGCTCTGGCTGAAATAAGAAAATATCTAGTTCCTGACAAGAATGACGACGTTGCGCAAGAACAACTTCGTGAACTTATGGAAATTGATCCCAAATCCGCAAAGCAGTTTTCTAAGTAACCGAACTTAGGTATATAATGTATTAATATATTTAATATTGGGTAATTTCAGATCGAYATATGAAAACAAAATAGTATCCAGTGGTCCATCCAAGTATTTGAATTTTGTAAAACAATATGCATATCAGATTGATCCATCTAAGTAAGTATAAACAACATTTTAAAAAGATTTTGTTTTGTAAAAAATCTATCTAAACGTATAATTTATAGTTTATTGAAACGTATAATTTATAGTTTATTGTGAACAGAATTAATCTATATTTTTTATACTTTCACAGAGAGGAGGAATCAGAGGAGGAGTATTATGAAACACGTATTCCTAAACGTACAATCGTTCCGGCTTACGAATATACCCGAGGTAAGATATCAGTTTATTTTTTTTATTATTATCGTGATTGTAGTCAAAACTTTATGAGTAATTTATATAATTAGTTGATTAGAATCTGCAATAATTTTAAATCCAAGAATTTTTAATAAAAGGAAATAAATAATATAAAAAATAAACTAACATAACTTTTTAATAAATTATACGAAACATTTCAATGTAAAATTTCGATGATATAAAAGATAACTTATAAAAATTAATTAATGAATAATGAATATTTTAGCAAAAATTGTGCCAACAACTTTGCCCTATAAACGTCCACCTACTGCCTCTATATACGGAACTCAAATGAAACGTTTCCGCGAAGCTCCAGTTAGACCAGCAATAAGACCCGTTGCACATGGAGTATTAAAGAGATATAAATAAATAACAGTATAACAAATTTTCATTGAAATAAATATACAGCATAATTAATAACAATTAACTTATCATATGTCATCAAAAAGTATCGTAATAATATATAAAATAAAATTTTTAAATATCTGACAGAACTRTAAGTAAGAATAGATTAGATCTGGCTGCTATTGATGCTCCTATTTCAAATCTGTAAAAACATATATATATAATATAAACCAATACATATTTACGCATATTGGAAGGGCACAGATATTATTGTTCAATTGTAAAGCAATAATAAATAAATTAAATATTGTCCAATAAAATAAACGTGAATTCATTTACCAACATGGTTAAAAGCATTTAAAGAAAAAASAATAACTTAAAGCAATTGTTTCATGAAACTGAACTATAAACCAATATAATAATTCTGGTTAAAGCTTCGATTGATCTATTAACTAATACCTTAACATGAAACACTTGACCCTATAAAAAGACAAAAATATATTTTTATATAACAAAAAATGTTTTGTTTTTTAACGGAATATTATTACAATAAACAAACCATATGAATGCTTTTTCGTCACGAACCTATGAATATTGTAAAACAATTTTAAATAATAAATTTGGTCTATTATTTTTTGCAAATAAATAATAAAAATTAAATGMTTTGTTTTATTTAACTGTTCTAATGGAAAGCTTCGGAGTTCCATTCAATTTTCAGTGTGAATCAKTGAGGAAGTCGTATTTAATGTTCAATCAAATTATTCGGCTTAAAATAATATGGGACTTTTTTCTTTACGCAGAAATTCCTCAGTTGAAAAAAAAAACAAATTAGCATTACGAAGTGTGTAAACTCTGTCCTAGTCATCTGACATATTGTCAAAAATTGTCATTGTTTTCGTTTTATTCATTTTCGCGAAAATTATTGCGAGAAAACGAATAATTTCTTCATTTGGAAAAGTTTTTATAATAATTAGTAATAAAACAGTATATATATAATATATCTTAACAATTTCTCAAATGTCAATAATACGGTAAAAATAGAAAATAAAAACAAAGAACTATTAATGTTGAAATGTGTTATATGTGTTTGTGTATTTTGCTTTTCAGACAAAGTATTTAAGGAGGAAAATGTCCAATTTCAATTACATGGACAGAGTTCCTGTTAAAATATCAGAAAGTTTTAAACCACCTCCCAGGTTGTATCAATTGCCTCAGTCAATAGTTCATAAATTGCAATTACCAGCGGAGCATTATAATGAAGCTCCACAATATTGTTATGACTTCCAGTTGGAAAAAAAGGTTATTGCCAAAATGCCTGAGTGGCGCCGTTTAAGGCAGCAGGAGCGGGAGGCACGCCGTGAACGAAAGGATCAAAGAGAGCAAGAACGTTTGCAAGAGCTGGAAGCCAGAAATAAACGTATGCTGGGCGCGGTAAATTATCCGAGTACCGATGATTTGTCTGGTTCGGATAATGAGACAGATTACAAGCAAACAAAAAATGTTGGAGGAGAAAAAAATGAGTCTGATACAGAAGAAAGATTAATTTTACCCCCGCAAATAAACAGTTTTCATAACATACTACAACCAACTATTGTTTCCAGTACTTGTGAAAATTCCAAAAAATTAAATGGCATAACAGCATCTTATTTGCAAACACATGCTAAGGCCGGAAAAAATTGTAGTGGTGCAAAAGAAGTAAATGCATTTAATTATAAAGACTTCGAAGAAGATACATCATCACCTTTTGATAATATTGAGTTAAAAACGATTAATGATTTAGATATATTAGCGCAAGTGCTTCATAACACGCAATTGCATGTCCAAAATAAAGAAATAGAGGATAAAGAGGAAAAATTGTCGCACGAAGAAAATTTGGAGAAAATTCAAGTAGAAATTCAATCTGAGCTTACAACCAAAGATAATACTCACAAAAATATTACAGAAAAGAACAATAAGGTTGAACTTAAAAAGGTTGACTATGATAAAATAAATCACCAACCTTTTCGTAATGAAAACATTCCAAATCCAATGATTGCAAATAACAGTATGACTAATGCTACGAATTGTAAAAGTAATAATAGCARCAGAGCGCTTCATCCATATAATTCACTTAATAATCCTGCACAGCATATTCAACAAAAATCCTATCAAACTTCTTACAATACATTATACAATGGTGAAGAAATTCCTCAGAAGTATTTGAATTTTATTGCCCAAACTCAAAACACTTCTGCAATTTTGGGTAATCACAATTACCTATATACCCAAAATTACAATGGTAGCGCTTCGGTTTACGGTAGTCCCAGACATTTACTAAATCATTCAACTGACGTTAATTCTACACACTGTATTGGCAGTAACGCCAATAACTATGTAAGCCCGATTTATGTCAGCAATGAATCACATTTGCAGAATCAACAATTTTTAAACACCAGCAATTACATAGATTCAAAATCCAAGAGCGTTCCAGATATACTGGAAGAGTTAAGTGACGAGGTTCGAAACTCAGAAATACGTAGGTCCCGTTACTATAGTTTTAATTCTGAAGAAGAAAAACAAACTGCAGTCAAGGATTTTAATGAAGGTGGGTATATAGATATTCTAATAAACATAGGTTAAAAATATTTATCTGAAGCAGATATAACTCCAAAGCAATCACCTGTGAAAGTAACACACTCATCACAAGAGACAAATCATTTTGACAAATTGCCTCTGCCTGCACAACGACTAGTTACAAATATTAGTTCTATGGGCTTTCCGTTGGAGCGAGTGGCTAAAATTTCCACAATTTTCGGCACGGATGATAAAAAGGTAAATAACGCTTAATGAGTTATAAAATATGATATAATAATTTAATTAAGTAATAATTACAGATCATTGAACATCTAATACCACTTAGTGAATTGATGGATCTGGGTTTCGACGAAGCGAAAATCTCCGAGGCTCTATTTAAATTCAATAACAATAAAGAGAAAGCCTTGGAATATTTAATTTCATAATCGCTTGTTCTCTGTAGGGTCCTATATTATACATCTATATATATTAGTATCAAAATGCTGTTTATGTGTGTAATGTATTATTATTTAAAACGTATGAATAATTGAGAGAACTAGGAGAAACATGAACCGCTTTCAATGTACATACAAAGTAGAAATTTCATCAAAATGTAAAAAAAAAAAGCCGAAAATCACACTGAAATGATATATTCGTTATATTTTTTACCGAAAATACTAACGATTAATAATGCAAATGTAATTGAGTATTCCTATAAATAAACAAAGAGATACAAATACGTGAATATACATACATTATTTTATTTTTGCAGTCTACATGTATTGACATAGGATTACATATTCCTTTTTTTCGCAATAGAGTGTTGTTGTTTTGTGTTAATTATTACTCAACTAAAAACATCTCAATTCTCATCTATTTTTAAATCATTAATTCATTGCCCCCATTAGGAGGTTAATAGCAAGATCAATATTACCATTTGCTATAGTTAAATATACAAGATTGTCATCGTAGTTGAGTAAACCCATTTGAACCATAGTGCGCAATTCATTAGCATATTGGTGAGTGCGATACTGGGGCGGTAATTCGTCACTGTCATCTCCCGTAATAGTACCAGTAGTAGATGTTTCTGTTGTGTCCATTCGTTGTGAATCCCTGACCTGAACAGTACTACCACTACCAGAACCACTAACTTGACTGACCCGTTGACCCAAAGATTGTAAAGCTCGTTGCAACTCTGATCGAAACATTGTTGATGAAATACGCTCCCCACTAGTTGAATTGGGTATGGATGCAGATGTTTCAGCAGCGGCTTCTGATGTTGTACCCGTGGTTGGTGTTACATTTACGTTATCACTATTTCTCTGAGCAATGTTGGACAATGAATTTACCGAACCGACGCCGATTCTGGCAAGTGCAGCTTGTAATTGCTGGCGGCTTATCATACGTATTCGTGAATTCTCCGATTGCGAACCTGACGTAGGTCGGTCGTTACTAGTGCTGGCGCCCATTGAATTTTCTTCCTCAGATGAATTGGTTGAATCAGTCGCCGGTTCTGAAACTATATGATGGAAGTTGATATGTATAAAAACTAATAAAAGACATTTTTCACTTACGTGTAGTCGATGAGCTTCGAGCCAATTCTTTCTTAATAGTATCTACCATAAATGGAGCTGCTTCACAAATAATGGGGTAGGTTTCAGAAATGTTTTTAACTACTTCTGGATGATGAAGTGTATTAAAAAGGACTGAATCTCTAATAAGAGCTTGCGCTCCTAAATTATGRCGAAATTCTGGATACTTCGCCAATACCTTTTGGAGGATATTGACACGTGAATTCACATTTATTTGAGTGTGTGCAATTACATTAAAAAGCTCGTGAATACGTGTAATATTCGCAGGGGTTGACACATCTTCTGGAGGAACGTACGGCGAATGTTGCTTTGTCTTGTTGAAACAATGTACCGTTCCGTTAGGACAAATACTTTCCAATAATTTATTTTCATCTTTTAAAGCTAAACCTTTGTATATTAACTCTGCAATTTGTTAAACATGTATATACATACATACTTATATATTACAAATCATAAGCATATATTCACATCGACAGACGTGTTGCTCGTATATACAATACTTACCTAAATTTGTTGCATCGCATTGCACCTTTTTAGCAATTTCTTCCTTTAAATAATTCACATTACGATCAAAGTCGATATCGTCTAAAGGTAGAAATTCATTTGGTTTATCTTGCAAATATATGCCAGCAAAAAGTGAAGGCATTTTAAATATAAATATTCGAATATTTATAAAAACGGTAGGAGCTTCCCGCACTGATGTAAATAATTGTTGATAATAGGCGAATCCCCAGCTATAGCGAAATTTTAGATATGCTTTACAAAGAACGTACAAAAATGTACGTTCTCTGTGCTTTATTTTGAAACGTCATGGCCAAAGAGTTGCCGTTTAAAAAAGTTTGCGTGAAAGATAGAAAATACCACATTATGTTAAAAAAAATGTTAAAAAATCTTAAACACCATTCGGATTTTTGTAAATTTTATCAATATGATATTTTCAATCCAAATTAAAAATCAACAAGAAATAAAAAGTAGCGCTTATAATTTTTCTTACAAATCTTTTTATTTGAATTAAAAAGTTTGGCATTACAGTGCGCAAGCGCCAATAAAAGACAATTGACAATCGAACGGATCAAAACAAAACCAAAGGAAAAACAAATTATTAACTATTTATAGTAGTTTTATAACTTCCTGAAAATCTGAAAATGCCAGAAATAATGAGTTGTGATTTCGAAGTTCACGGCATAGTTCAAGGTAATTAATGGATTTAATTTGAATGTAATGGTTACTACTGTTTGTTTCAGGTGTTTCATTTCGAATGGTAAGTTAATGTTATGGAGCAATGAATCATCCTCGTAGTCGCTGTGACCACCAAAATAGCATTATCATTTCAAATGATATCCCAGGCTTAAATTGTATGTATATTGCAGTATACTGAAAGGCAAGCAAAATCTCTTGGAGTTAAAGGATGGTGTATGAACACGCCACATGATACCGTTAAGGGACAAATCGAAGGGAGCCTTGAAGCCTTTGAGAAAATGTAAGTTTAAAGCATTACAATTTTGTGGTATATTCCTGTAATTTTTAAATTGTCTTCAAAAGGAAAGTTTGGTTACAAAAAACTGGAAGCCCGACATGTCGCATAGAAAAGGTTGATTTCAGTGAACCGAAAAAACTACCRGACTACACATTTACAAATTTTTCAATTCGTCACTAATTCAATTGTTACATATGTAATGGTTAGAATTTAAAGCATTGCAAAGATTTGCATTTGGTAATAAAATAAATCTTGTCATTTAAAAAAAAAATAACGCATTTATGCTTCTGCCGGAGAAATATTATTACAGACCATTCACAACTTTATGGAGTATAATTTTTTAAAATACAAATGGCCATGACAGTCCAAGAGAAATTTTTTAGCTACAATGTCCACATAGTTTAAATCAAGATCTATTCAATACTAAAAATTCAACATTTAAAAAAAGKATGATAATATTAACAAATCCATTTTTATAGTACAATACATTCATTTATATTTTTTAAGTGACTTTGTTATTGTGAATGTTTCTTTCTTTACAGCGAAGTTGGTTACAATTTCCATTCACGTAAATTTTTCAGTCGTGTCGTTTATTGCGAGCAATCATCACTTATTCCTTGCTGCTTCGTAAAAAAATTTGAGAAGTAGGAGTAATTAAATATATTTCTATAATTTCACTTTAAGTGAGTGAAAGAAAGTAAAATCAAATGTTGAACAAGTGCTAGTTATTTCTTTATTTATATTAACAAGAAATACGACAACGGAATTGATTACTAGCAAAGTTTTCTTGCTTTGCTAAATGACTTGCGCTTGTGCAAGTGAGAAAGAGCTAGTTGTAAACCCATTCAATAATGGCTGCATAGGTAAAAACCTTGAATGTTTGCTTAAACGAGAGAGCTAGCTGCGTTTCCTGGTGTACGTATGCACTTAACAAACGTGCGTTCGTGAACGCAAACAAAGGATCTGAGCGAGTACTTTGTGCGCTACACGTCAATTGTAATTGCGTTAGAGCGGACGAAAGGTATTAATACGTTTAGTGTGGTTTGTTATAGTCACAAGCGGGAGTGAAACAAGCAGACGTTGTAAAGAGTGCGCATGTGTTTTGTAATATTTGGATTTCGTGAACGAATTTTACTGGGATCGTAGGAATTGAATTATTTGTCCTCGTTACCCGTTGCTTATTATTGCATATGGAAAATAAAAAGAAAGAGGAATAACGTCGACAGTCATATGTTATATATGTGTGTGTGTGCTGTGTCAAAAATAAAAATATAAAACAAAGAAGGATTTTGAAAGATTTATAAAGCAAAAAATGATTAAAATGGAGACTGACAAAATTATGGACGAGACCAACTCAAATTCGCAAGCTGTAAGTTTAGTTAACCACTTTTAATTTTATATAAACATTTTACAAATTTTATTTCTTATTCTTTTGACTATAAATATTGCCTATAATATATAAACTTGTTTTGCATGTACATCTGTGATTATATTGTGTATAAACTTTGAATTATGAATCATTAATTGCAGAAACCTTTTTAATATATTTGCATTCATATTAAATAGAGAATATTATACATTTAGTTTATGACACAGCCATCAAGCTGCTCTGATTTATTGATCAAAAGCAATTCAACTCTATTGAAATTCATCTTATTCGTTATATACGCGTGTGCTTTAAGTTCATAAGCAGGGAGCCATAAATCATTACGGTTTAAATGTTCAAAATCTATACAATGTTTTCTGCATAAATGTTCCAAAATGGGATTTTTACATCTGTTGCTACTAGAACTTACTGTGTATTAAGTTTATTATACACTTTAATTCGTAAATAATGAACTATGGAACTATGGTTCAATATTTTTCTTAGAGTGATAAAAATTTCAAATTATAGGTCATAAGAAATTCGATAATTTTGACAAAGTCGTAAGCAATAAAAATATTTGGTTTAGAATATATTGTTTCCTCAATCAATCAAACTAGCTTATTCATATAATAGTATAATCTGCTATAATGACTTTTTTTGATTCGGGTATTAGATTAAACCAGTATTTTTAAGAGATTCAGTCATAAGTAAAAATCTAATGTACATAATATCATTATTAAAAGTATAAAATTCCCTTAATAAATTATACAGATGTATACAATATATCACATTTTCATCTCATTTAAATCGTTTATAACATTTTTCGGCCAACTTTATATGACAGATGCTACAAAATTGGAAACCAGCCATTGAAATGTGATGAAAACTAGCCGAGTGTTATGATATCTAAAAAAAAAAAACACTAAGTTTTTAAAAATTCTCAAATTAAACATCAATGTTTAAGAAAAATTAATGGATATGACATATAATTTTTCTTGCTGAATATTAATTTTACGTAGTTATAATAGTTCATATATTTTTACTATATTTTTAATTATATCCACGTGAAACCCAATTAGTTTACAAGAGGTAATTTTTCAAAAATTTTCTTATACATAGCTTAAACTATAATGAATATTAATTTTACGTAGTTATAATAGTTCATATATTTTTACTATATTTTTAATTATATCCACGTGAAACCCAATTAGTTTACAAGAGGTAATTTTTCAAAAAWTTTCTTATAGCTTAAACTAAACAAACTCCTTGTTTTGTGAATGCTTATAAAGTTTACAATTCTGTCACCTCTACTGTGTATTTGGAGTTCAATTTTTTTTGAAAATCGTATTAATTTTGAACTATTTAAAAAAAATTTAACTGCATATGACAAATTTTAATATTTTCATAAACGTGATCAATAAATACAAACTGACTAAATGTAAATATTTTAAAAATATAATATACAAAATTTTTGGGTTTATTTTGAAATCTTAAAAAGGTCAAGGTTACAAGAGTTCTGTTGTACCATTTGTTTAGATACTTTACATTTATTCATAAAGAAAGTCGTATACATATACTAATCTAGTATTTTTTGTCGCAAGAGTGCATGCCTATATAACTATTTTGTTCTATATATTTATACTATATTTAAATTCTATATTTTATAGTGAAAGAAAAAATAAAAATTTACCCACTTACTTAGTGCATTCTGATTTATTTGATATTTTCTAAAACTAAATTTTCTCTTTTCTATTTGCAAATCCCATTTGATTGTTTTACTGTCTTTTGTAACTACTGCTCATCAACGACTACAATAATTTATTGCGGCTATTTTCATACATCTTCATACAAAATTATAAACATTATGATAGTTCACATCAACAATGCTGTATGATCCCGTCCGTAAGAAAGAATCAACGCAAATATTTCAAAATGAACGTGAGACCTGCTTAACCTACTTCTCGCAATGGAACGAAGCGGATCAGGTTGAATTCGTGGAACAGCTTCTTGCGCGCATGTGCCACTACCAACATGGACACATAAATGCGTTCCTTAAACCGATGTTGCAGCGTGATTTCATCACATTATTGCCGAGTAAGTGCATACCGATATTACTATAAAAACTAATGATATATACCAATGCACAAATCCGTGTCCATATTTATGTATTTACATACATATGTATGTTGAGCAATAGAGTTTCTTTATTTAAGATGGCGCACATTACATCGAAATTCAGAAAATAAATTAATCATGAAATAATTGAAAATAAGAGTTTAGATTAATATCTGGAAGTTTTTAGAAAACGTGCATTATTCATATATATTCATATATATGTAGTAAGTAAGTCAAGGTCAAGGGTCTTGAAAAAGTAAATCAATGAAATGTTTTATTGAAAGAAACTAATCAGTACCCATAAGTTCTTTTTGCAGTGTTCGTAATCTTAATTTCTGTTTGTCAATGCTGCTTATATATGTATATACATGTACGAWTCAGAATTAAAGCAATATTAAGAAACGTAATTTTTTTTTAATATTTATTTATTTTTAATTCTAATATTAATTAATATTATAATAAATATTTTGAATAGAAACACTCTCTTCAACTATCTCTTAAGAGTACCGTAACCACTGACGCAACACGTTAATTGTGAAGTGCCTATAATGTGTGTGTGCGTGCACGTATGTCACTTACCTTGGGGCTTTGTAATTTGCTTAGCATTGCAATGTTTTCTGACGTATGTATCTCCTATTTTCGTTTATAAACTAGTAACAATTCGCAACTACCAGATTTACATGCAAACTTATGTTTACCAAGAATAAGAATTGATCCTGAATATACTCTTCATATACAATCAATTATAGATTGAGTCGCATTTGCAACAAACTCTTTATTATAAAATATATTAATGCTAAGTTATGGAGCCTTCGGCATACCCAAAGTCAACCACTTTTCCTTTGCGTAGTTTCTTTTCTTCATTTGCTTTCTAAGTACTGAAAATATTCTCAGTGTGATACTTTCTTTTATTCTCGTATGCAATAACAGGTTCCAAATGGGTTTACATCATAAAATGATCCTCTAGCAAGTCGTTGTTATTTTTATTCATATACTGATGCCATTTAGTCAGTGATCCGAATTGTTGTATTATTTATACATACATATATAAAAAATAAACTCTTGTATACATTTGCAATGAGTAAAGATTTCTATACTTGGAAATCGTTCATTGTTCCGCTGAAAAATTCATAATAGCTACCTTGAAATACAAAACGAATGGAGGAAGAAAAAGTAAACTTCAAACTTAACGCTGTGTAATTAAACTCATGAAGTATACTTATGTATACATATGTATATAAGTATGTATATGTGAATGTGTTTAATATTGAGTACATGAATGTGCACTTACATATGTTCACATTAAATACTTATAACCAATAATGCATTTAGTAAAGCTATAACCATTCCCACTCGGTTAAGAAATATTAAAATATTCCATAATTATTTATGATAAACKCATTGGTGAAACAAATAACAAAGATTTAAGTTCAGGTATTACTCTTCCAATTTGTGAGGTTCAAAAGTGGTGAAATATTTTCAGGTATGGACAATAATTTGAATACGGGGTAGTATGTATATGTTATTCAAACTTTTTTATTATTATGAAAAATATATATTTGGTCACTTTTTCGGTTATATTGGGAGTAGGGGTGTAGGGGTTGGACTGCAAGTTTATTCTTTCTCTTACATATTGCTAATATCAAGCTAAAMAGCTTATCTAGTCATCCGAGTTGTGCAGATTATAACGAAAGTCGGACATGCATAGAGTCTGTAGCGATAGCTTAAAGGTTTGAGCAACATCAGCTTTTTACGTTATCACTTCTAATGGTCATCTGCATAAA